ATATAAATTATATTTTAGATTTATAATAAATATTTATATTATAGAAAAATAAATTATTTTATTTATTGATAACTTATTTTAAAATATTAATATTTAATTAATAAATAATTATGATAAATAAAAATCAAATTAGATAAGTAATTAAAAAAAATTACAAATTCTTTCATCGAAGCAGGATCTTTAAACAATATTACCGCATAAAATAAAAATTCACATTTAATATATAGGGATTGATTTTCATAATATGATGATTTGATTTGATTTTTTTAACATAAACAAATTGATTTAAGATATGTCATGTATTCCAAATTAATGAATATCTTGATATCATTTTGAATTAATTTTTATATTATTTTCATGATGTGATGATTTGAACCATTAGAATCGACTTAGTAGTGAGAAATTAGAATAGTATTTACAGAGTCCTAGGTTCAAATATTTTATTGTAATTCTGATGGATATAAAAATTGTAATATTCATCAAATCGAGTAAATTAAGATATGTGGATTGTACAAATTACATAAAATAGTATTTTTCACTTATGAAATATACAAGCTAAATGTTATTATATTATAATATAACTAAAATTTATAACAAATTATATTTATAAATTATATATATAGAGGATACCCTTTTAGTAATCATTTTGTTTTCTATATTTGGTAGACTATTATACCTGTTTATTATTAAAAAAAATTATATTTTTATTAAACCAATAAATTAAACTCAAAATCTTGAAATTCAAGAACAAATTGCTATACAAGTTAAATCAACATTCGATCTTAATAGTACATATTAAGAATACATGTTTAAATATATAAATTATATTTAAAATTTGTATAAATAATTTTTTTTAAAATATATAATTGATATTTTAAATTTATGATAAATAATTTATATTGTAACATAAGATTATTTTTATTTATTAATAATTTATTTTAAAATATTAAAATTTTATTTATAAATAATTATGATAAATAAAAATCAAGTTAGATAAAAATCTTTAAAAATTCTCTCGTCAAAGAATAACTCTTAAAGATATTCTCGCACAAGATATCAATTCGTGTTTTATATTTAAAATTTGATTTGTTTTAAAATATTAAAATTTAATTCACAAATAATTATGATAAATAAAAATTAAATTAAATAAGTTAAAATAATTTTTACAATCACTCTTGTTAAATAAAAACTCCCTAAAAACGATCTCGCATAAGATACTAATTCATGTTTTATATATACTTGCAATGCACGTATTAAATATCTATTATATATAACTAAAAATTAAAATAAATTATGTATATAAATAAATACTATGTTTAAATATATCAATTATATTTAAATATATAAATTATATTTAAGATTTATAATAAATAATTTTATAATATAGTAAAAAAATTATTTTTATTTGTTAATAATTTTTTTTAAGATACTTAACTCATAAATAATTATGATTAAAAATAAAATTAAATATGAAGTTAAAAATTTATCTAAAAACTCTCTCATTAAAGAAAATTGTCAAGTACTCTCGCTCGTTGATATTTTGTTGAAGTACTATCTTAGACCTTTTGATGTGTTAGTATTTTGTCGAAGTAATGTTATTAAGTACATGTTGTGTAAACCTGTCTTACATTCTCGAATTGGCAAATGGGCACTCGCGTTAACTGAATATTCATTAACTTTCGAGCCTTTAAAATCAACAAAGGGACAAGTAATTGCGGATTTTCATACTTTTTGTTGCTAAATATTTATCAAATCTTAAATATTTGAGTTTATCAATCTTATCCAAAAATATTAACTTAGCATTTTTGTTTCTAAAACATATTTTTTATTATTCAAATGTAGTTACTATTTGAATATCTCTAAAAGAAAAAACACTTTTGAATATTATTTATTACATAGTTTAATTAAAATCTAGAGAACTCGGACAAATCCAAAACGGAAAAAGGGTAAAAAGATCAAGCTATATTTCACCTATTTTTCATTCTATCTTTCTACTTATGTCATTTTTGTAATATATATACTATCCTTTGTTTTAAAGTTAGAAAAGTTAATATTATCGGCAAACACTAGTTGTTAAACTATTTCAAAGTAATGAGAAGAACCCCTAAATTAAAAAGGATTTTGTTTTAACCCAGGCTACGGTAACTAATTTCAAAGATTATTTAAGCTTGAGCTCTATTCAATTAAACTTAGAACATTTTTACCTTGCAATAAGAAAAAAGTTTATTATCATCGGGGTAGTTTTTTAATCCATTTGAATATCTCTAAAAGAAAAAATATTTTTTGAATATTATTTATTAGATAGTTTCATTAAAAACTAGGGAAACTTGGACAAAACCAAAACACAAAAAGGATATAACGATCAAGCTATACTACCAAAAATACATCTATGTTTTTTCATATTTTATTCATATGAAATGACTATGCTACAAGTGGTTTTTGACAACATAGAAATGGTGCATATTAGAGGACCACAATTTCATTCATCTTGCTATTTTTCTTTTTTTCTTCTCTCTCGCCAATAATTGTTTTGTAATTTTAAAGTAAAACCAGTGGTCTTGTTGTTAGCATAAAATCTTTGATGTTGTTTCTTACCTGATTTTTCCATGCCACTGTTGCTCCAATTTTTACTTGGAATGAAGTTGAGAAATTAGAATTTTACTCAAAAAGCCTCTTTAATTCTATAGATACGGTGTCAATTTGCTAACAAGATGATAAATCAATACTCTGTTGAGTATGTGGAGTTTGAAGGGTTTATTGGGCTTCGCCCATTTGCTTTCTTTCTTTCTTATAAATGCTCATGTAATTGTAAACCTAACAAGATGAAATAGAAAATATCATCTAGTGCAGTCGTGGACGTAGGTTATTCTGATCGAACCATGTAAATATTTGTATCTTGTTAATTTACTTTCTCTCTTACAATTGTGTGAGTGAGTGCATTTGGGATCCCCAACAACTGGTATCAGAGCCTAATTTTCACGCGAGTGGGAGCAATGGGAGAAGACAGGGAAGTGAAGATTGACAAGTTCGATGGGAGTGATTTCAAATTTTGGAAGATGCAAATTGAAGATTATTTATATCAGAAGAAGTTTTATCATCCTCTGTCCGAGAATAAACCAGAAACGATATCTTAGGAAGATTGGAATTCGCTAGATCGACAGGCTCTAGGGGTTGTCAGATTGACGTTGACGAAGAATGTCGCCTACACCATTGTCAATGAGAAGACGACATATGGTTTGAGAAAGACATTATCAAACATGTACAAGAAGCCATTAGAATCAAAAAGGTATTTCTTATTCATCAACTAGTTAATACGAAGATGGGAAAAGGTGTTAGTGTTACAAATCATGTTAATGAATTTAATTCCTTATTGTCGAGCTAGATTAGTATTAGTGGATATTAAATTTGATGATGAAGTACAAGCCCTATTGTTGCTATCCTTATTGCCTAATAGTTGGTCAACAACTGTCACAACAGACGCTAGTACATCTGGGACTACGAAATTGACCTTCAAAGAGAAGCAAGCTTGGGCTGCCGAGAAGGCTGCGATGGAGAGCGAGTTGGCCGAGATGCGCCTAGCCCGGGACAAGTCGGCCGATGCTGCGAATGTTTTTGAGAACGACTTGTCCTTGATGAAGCTTGAGGTGGAGAAACTCCAGAATGACCTTCAAGCCGCGAAGATGGACTCTTTGACGAAATTTGTTCAAGGCTTCGATGCAGTTTGAATATCTCTAAAAGAAAAAACACTTTTGAATATTATTTATTACATAGTTTAATTAAAATCTAGAGAACTCGGACAAATCCAAAACGGAAAAAGGGTAAAAAGATCAAGCTATATTTCACCTATT